TGAGGAGCCACAGGTCTGTAGCTAAGTAGCGGGTTAGCAGCGAGTTGGGTGAACTCATTTTGGGGTGCGTTAGGGGTTGAGGGGGAACCAGCCCAGTGGAAGCGTAGATCTGATAGGCCGATCGCGAGATTCTCCATGTCCTGCTTCTGAGTTCCCTGGAATGTGCCGCGTTCCTTTGTCAGTGGGTCACTGAGAGATTGGCGCACGTTCTAGAACCTTCCATAGAGGCGTGTGCGTGCGTGCAGGCCTGCGTGCGTACACATGTGTGCACACACCCCTGGGTGGTGTGTGTAGGTGGTGAACAGTGTGAGAATTCCCCCGGGGGTAAATGTGTTCCTGTGGCGTTGGTAGCTCTCTTCCTACTCTCCCTCTTTTTTTGTGTGTGTGTCAGACCTGGGACTTGAACTCAGGGCCTGGGCGCCATCCCTGACCCTCTGTGCTCCAGGCTGGTGCTCTACCACGTGAGCCACAGCGCCACTTCCGGCCTTTGATTAGTTTATTGAAGATAAACTCACAGGAACTTCCCTCAATTGAGAGTCTCAAATCTCAGCCTGAACTGCTGGGATTACAGGCGTGAGCCACAGTGCCCGGCCTTCCACCAGAATCAAAGCCCGATGGGTCAATCTGTCCATATTTGGCATCTCCCCAGCTCTGGAAGGATCTGTTTGTCCTGGGTCCCCAGGAAGATGACAGGAGACGCTCACTGATGGGTGGTGTGGGAGCTTGTGGTCACTCTGGGGAGACCATATTTACCGATTTGGACTAACCATATGGTGATAACATCCCCCAGTCTTATCTTATGATCTGGCTCGCCTTAGTACAGGTGTGTGTGTGTGGCAGGCTGGGGTTGAGCATCTCATGAACTTGGGGGGGTGGAGGCGGAGGAAACTGAGTCATGAGGGCGGGCTTCCTGGGGGGGGGGTGGAGGAGATACCATGGCATTGGTTGCCTAATGCAGGTTCAGGGGAGTGGAAGGCAGGGCAGGCCGTTCAGGGTTAAGATCTCGGGGTCTTCTTGCCCAGCCCACCGTCCCCCCCAGAGGAAGTCACACCTTCAGACCAGGCCGGAAGTTGAGGGGGTAGCTGGGGGGGTGCAGGGCCCCCCTGTGACGCCCAGCTTCCTGTCCCTCCCGCCCCACGCCTCTGGCAGTCAGCCTGGGGGTCCGGTTCTCTTTCCCTCATTCTGCTGGTGTCGGGGTTGGGGGAGACTAGGGGGGGCCTGCTCCCCACTTTCACCCCACGGCCTCCAGGCCTGGCCCCACCCCCATCCCTTCTTGTCCCCATTTCCTGGAAGGCCGTGTGGAGGGGGGCTCTGTGGGCTTTTTGTGGGTAGCCAGGGAGGGTGGAGGTGTGGGGGGAGGGAAGGGGGGAGGCCCTGTTTACCTGGGGGTCCCCCCAAAAAGCCAGAACTGGGTCCAGCAGACTATGGGAGGGAGCAGGGAGGAGCGAGAATTGATTGGGTTTACTTCCTGCTGGAACTGGGGGTGTCAGGGCGGGCTGGGGAGAGCCCTGGGAATTGGGGTGTCACTCCTTGAATCAAAGAGAGGAAGCCGGGCAGGCCTGGGCAGCGCTGGGCGCAGGCAACCCCCCCAGGGGGTGTGGTCCTGGCCCAGGGAAAGAGGGGGGAGGAGGGGGGGTCAGGAAGGCTTCCCTTTGGGATGGAGTTGCAGGGGGGCCCACGGGAGCCGGGGCGCAGGTGGGGTGCACTTGCCGGCTGGGCACCCCGTTTTCTGCTGGCTCATGGCCCTTGGGGGGGATGGGGTGTTGGGAAGCCGTAAGTTCCCCCTCTTCTCTCTAAGGTCCCCTCCCTCCCTCCCTCCCTCCCTCCCTCCTGAGTCACGGGGCGGGGCGGGGCTGCAGGGAAAAGCGTCTGCTTCCCGGAGCTCACTTAACCCCCGGAGTGGGAGCTGGCACCCCAAAACCTCTCTCTGCCTCTCTCTCCCTCTACGTCTCTCTGGCTCTGTTTCTCTGTCTCTGTGCCTCTCTACGTCTTTCTCCATTTCTCTCATTGTGTCTGTCTGTCTGTCTCCCCTTTGGTCTTTGTCTCGCTGTGGATCTGTCCTTCTCTCCCTCTGGTCTCTCCCTCTGTCTCTGTCTCTTTCTGTCTCATTGTATCTCTTTGTCTGTCTGTCTGTCTGTCTTCCTCCAATGCTGCTGTCTTTCTCTCTCACACAGTGTGTCTGTCTGTCTGTCTGTTGCTGGCTCAGCTCCCAGGCTCCTTCCTGGCGCAGCTTCTGAGCACCGTGGACATGAACCTCTTCGGGGAAAGGAACTCCACTTCCAGGATCAGGAAGTTCCTCCCCTCCCTGGCCCTTCCTGTCACCCCGAAAGCCCCCTCCCGCCCTCTGGGAGTGGGGTGCCTGGGCCCCCCCTCAGGGATGGGGGTGCTGTGTGCAACTTAGACTCCCAGAGGCCACAGGGAGACGGGGGGGGGGGGGGGGTCGGCTGACTCATGGCTGCTCCCCGTTGTTGCTCTGAGGAACCCCTCTATCCCCCCCATCACGTGACTCACAGCTAAGCAAGATACACAGTCCTGGCCAGACCGAAGGGCGAAGTCTACGGTGGACGTCAGTCCTGACTTCTGCTTTTGCTTTCTCCCTACTGAGGTTGGGAACAGAAAAAGCCATTTCCCTGCTGGGAGCTCCGCCTTCTAGAATGTTCTGCTGGGGGGAGGGGGGGGGCCTTGGGAAAGTCTTCCTGTAGCTGTTACCGGAAGCGGATCCACTGCCCAGTTCTGGCCAGCTCTAGCTGTCCCTGCCCCCACCCGAACTCTCCTTCCCACGCCACCCCCAAGTTCCAAACTGCCCCCCAAACCCCCCTTCCTCACGGAAATTTAAACATGGGTCACGGACCTCTGAGGTACTAAGTAAGGTTTGATACACACGGATAAAGAAATTACTGCCGTTCAATCCCTGCCTCCCATCTGTCATCCTGGCTACTCAGGAGGCTGAGATCTGAGGATCCAAGTTCAAAACCAGCCCTGGCATGGTTGGGCTGACAAAGCCAAGAGACTCTTACCTCCAGTGAACCAGCAAAAAGCCAGAAGGGGAGGTGTGGCTCAAGTGGTAGAGCGCCCAGCTTCTGAGTGAAAAAAGTCAAGCAACAGAGCAAGGCTCTGAGTTCAAGTCTCCGTACCAGCAACAAAGGGAAAACAACTTCCTTGTCTAGCCCAGGATGTTTATCCCTAGCTTTGCTTAAAAACAACAACAACAAAAATTCTTCCTCCTGCTTTTGCCCATAGCCAGAAACAGCTCTTCAGAAATATAACTCGAGCCGGGCGCTGGTGGCTCATACCTGTCATCCTAGCTACTCAGGAGGCTGAGATTGGAGGATCGCAGTTCAAAGCCAGCCTGGGCAGGAAAGTCTGTGAGACTCTTATCTCCAATAAACCACTAGAAAACCGGAAGTGGCGCTGTGGCTCAAGTGGCAGAGCGCTCGCCTTGAGCTGAAGAGCTGAGGGACAGCGTCCAGGCCCTGAGTTCAAGCCCCATGACCAACAAGAAATTTTTTTAAATTGTTATTACAAAAGTGATGTACCACAGGGTTACATAGGTCAGGCACAGAGTAAATTTCCCTTTGGACAATCTCACCCCTTCCCTTCTCTCCCTCTTCTTTTCCAAAATGCTATTTAGTGATCTGACACAATCCAGATATGTTACTACTTATTCAACTCTGTGAATGCTCACTCCGTGAACCTTCCATCAGACGCACAAGCGCTCCGCCAATCTATAGTGTTGCTTTGCTAGTTCTGCCTAGCAGATACCATGATGATGAATGAAGAATGACTCATGAAACAATATTATTGTCCGGGAGAGTGAGGAATGAGTTCAATCAGTACAATTAAACTGAAGGAGTTTTTTGTTGTTTTTTTTTCCATCTTCTACTTTTATTCTTTTTTTTTTTTTGACAATCCTGGGGCTTGAACTCAGGGCCTTGAGCTTTTGTGCTCAAGACTGGTGCTGTACCACTTGAGCCACAGTGCCACGTCAGGTTTTTTTTTGGTGGTTAACTACAGATAGGAGTTCCATGGACTTTCCTGCCTGGGCTGCCTTTGACCCCTGATCCTCAGATCTCAGCCTCCTGAGTAGCTCGGATGGCAGGTGTGAGCCACTGGCTCCCGGCTCCAGCCTCCACTGTGAAGGGGTCAGGTTGTACAGGTTATCTTGGGGGTGGTTTTGGTTGCAGATCCAGGAGCCAGTGACAGGCCATCAGCAGGCAGGAAAATAAGTCTCACACCGGTGTTCACCCTGTCTCCCGCCAGGATCGCTGCAGAAAGTCAAGCACTCAAGAGTCCAGTGTCTTCACTCAGACACAAGGGAAGCCAATTACACGGCCAGTGGCTGTCCCCTGGCATTGGGCATGCTCCATGCACACTGTCCACTCCTCTTCCCCCCCCCCCCAATTCCCATGGGGCTCCGGGGTTCTACTTGAAGTCACCTCTGGTTCTGGCCTGGGAATTGTTGCTTAGGGGGATCACACAGGCTTAGCATGTGCCAGGCTGTGCATTTTGACCCAGCAGTGCTAACACATCAACAACAATGACAACGACAAAGCATTCCTTTTAATCAACAATTATTCTGTCCAGCAGGGGGTTGTGCCTAGTTGGAAACTTTCACCTGGAGCCAGGCGCTGGTGGCTCACATCTGTTATCCTAGCTACTCAGGAGGCTGAGAGCTGAGGATGGCGGTTCAAAGCCAGTCTGGGCAGGAAAGCCTGTGAGACTCTGATTTCCAACAAACCACCAGAAAACCGGAAGTGGCCGCTGTGGCTCAAGTGGTAGAGCACCTGCCTTGAGCTAAAGAGCTGAGGGACAGCGCCCAGGCCCTGAGTTCAAGCCCCATGACACACACACACACACACACACAATTGGGATCAGGGGCCATTTAGCCTGCAATTGAAGAAATGAGAACTAGCATGCAGGACTAGTAGAGAAGAAAGTTCTAGAATTAACATGGACAACTACTCGCATTCTAAGGCTACTTTCTCTGGACTCTTCTCCAGGTGCTCCTGGCTCTGCTGGTGGGGATACACCTGTCAATAGTCTCTGGACTGGTCCTTCCCCTTGAGGGCCGGGGGAAGAGGGACAGTCTGTGTCCCCCGGGAAAATATGTCCACCCCCAGAACAGCTCCATCTGCTGCACCATGTGCCACAAAGGTAGGAGGAAGAGGAGGGCGGCCTGGGCTTCTACTCCCACGATCCTAGAGCCCATTCCTGCCCCAGCCCTGCCCCTGCCGCCACTCCCTGCCCCCCTCCCCTCCCGTCCCTCCCCCTGTCCCCCCTCCCCTCCTGTCCCTCCCCCTGCCTCCACTCCCCTACTTCCCTCCGTCCCCTCTTCCCCTTCCTCTTTCCTCCTCTATTCCTCCTTCCCCTCCCTGCTTCCCCTTCCTTTCCCCTCCCCTCACTTCCTCCTCCCTCCTCCCCTCCTCTCCCTCCTTTCCTATTCCTCCTTCCTCCTCCTCCCTTCCCTTCCTCTTCCCCCTCTTCTTCCTACCCTCCCCCTCCCCACTTCCCCTGTCCCCCCTTCCTCTCTCCCCCTTCCCCTCTCCTCCTCTCCCCCCTTCCCCTTCCCCTCCCCTCTCCCCCCTCCTCCTCTCCCCCCTCCTCCTCTCCCCCCTCCTCCTCTCCCCCCTCCTCCTCTCCCCCTCCTCCTCTCCCCCCCTTCCCTTCTCCTCTCCCCCCCTCCCCTCCCCTCTCCCTCCTCCTCCTCCCCTCTCCTCCTCTCCCCCCTTCCCCTCCCCTCTCCCCCCTCTTCCCCTCCCCTCCCCTCCCCCTTCCCCTCCCCCCTCTTCCCCTCCCCCTTCCCCCTTCCCCCCTTCCCCTCCCCAACCCCCTCTTCCTCTCCCCCCTCCCCTCCCCCCTTCCCTCCCCCCCTCCTCCTCTCCCCCCTTCCCCTCCCCTCTCCCCCCTTCCCCTCCCCTCTCCGCCCTCTTCCCCTCCCCTCCCCCCCTCCCCTCCCCTCCCCCCACTTCCCGGAAGTGGCCGGCTCCTCCCCTTGGGCCCCAGCCGCCTCACCCGCCTCTGTTTGCAGGAACCTACTTGTTCAAGGACTGCCCGAGGCCCGGGATAGAAACCGAATGCAGGGTGTGTGAGAAGGGCAGCTTCACGGCCTTCGAGAACCACCAGAGGGAGTGCCACGGCTGCTCCCAGTGTCGACTAGGCGAGGCTCGCGCCGGGGGCGTGCGCATGCGCGGGCTGAGGGTGCGCCTGCGCAGCTGGGAGGGGAGCTTCAGCGTGGGCAGGCCGGTGCGCATGCGCCAGCAGATGTGTGGAAAGTGCGCATGTGCTACTGGATGTGGAACCGGTGTCTGTGTGCGCGCGCCAGTTGGTGTAGGAAGTGTGCGCATGCGCTGGTGGGTGGGAGAAGGCGGCAGTGTCTATGCGCATGCACCGGTCGATGTGGGACTTGTGCGCATGTGCCGGAAGGCGTGGGAAGTCTTGTGCGCGTGCGCTGGTCGATGCCGGACGTGTCTGTGCACGTGCATCGGTAGAAATGGGAAGTGTGTGTGTGTGTGCACTGGTAGGTGTGTGAAGTAGCTGCGCATGCGCTGGAAGGGATGGGCCGTATGTGTGCGCATGCGCTAGTGGGTGGTCGTTGCGGGAAGTGCGCGCATGCGCTCTAAAGTGTGGGAAGTAACTGCACAAGTGCTGGAAGGGCTGAGCCGTGTCTGTGCGCATGCGCGGGTAGGTGGGGCATCTTTTGCGCATGCGTGGGTAGGTGGGGGGGGGCGTCTTCCTCTGTGTAGTGTTGTGAACGTGTGTAACCGAGGCAGACACACCCACACGAGCGTGGAGCGTGGATCGGGAGGGACGCGGGGCTCACGGCCCTCTGTCCCCAGCAGAGCTGAACCAGGTGGAGCTTTCTCCCTGCACCGTGGACCGCGACACCGAGTGTGGCTGCGGCAAGAACCAGTTCCGATATTACCTGGGCGCGAAGCCGTTCGAGTGCCGGGCCTGCAGCCTCTGCCTCAATGGCAGCGTGATCTTCCCGTGTGAGTGGGCCTCCTCCGGCCCCGCCCCGCCCCTGCGGCCGCCCCTGCTGCTCCTGGGGCTCGGGGGAGCCCCCCCTCCTTAGCTGTGCCCTCCCCTCCCGCAGGTCAGGAGAGCCAGGACACCGTGTGCAGCTGCCACGTGGGCTTCTTCCCAAGAAAGAGCGAGTGTGTGCCCTGCAGCGAGTGAGTATCTCCCAGCGGCCCGTGCGGGGGGCGTGGCTGACACTCCCCAGAAGGGCCCGGGGGTGGACCCCGAAAATTCTATTGGCTGACACCAGCGCCAGTCCTGGGGCTTGAACTCAGGGCCTGGGCGCTGTTCCTGAGCTGCTTTCACTCAAGGCGGGCGCTCTACTACTTGAGCCACAGCACCACTTCTGGTTTTCTGGTGGTTTTATTGGAGATCAGAGTCTCACGGACTTTCGTGCCCGGCCTGGCTTTGAACCACGATCCTCAGATCTCAGCCTCCTGAGTAGCTGGGATGACAGGCGGGAGCCACCCGTGTGCAGTCTCATGTTCAGTTTTGTTTTTGATCTCCAAGCCTCTTCCTCACTCAGTACTTGGTGCTCCTCCCCTTGAACCACAGAGCCACTTCTAGCTTTTCGTTGGTGCCTTGGATCTAAGAGTCTCATGGAAGGCTGGGAAGGTGGCTTCGCAAGTAGAGTGCTCGCCTAGCATGCATGAGGCCTGGGGTTCGATTCCTCAGTACCACATCCACAGACAAAGCCAGAAGTGGCGCTGTGGCCCAAGTGGTAGAGCGCCAGCCTTGAGCTGAAGAGCTGAGGAACAGCGCCCAGGCCCTGAGTTCAAGCCCCAGGACTGGCAAAAAAAAAAAAAAAAGTTTCATGGCCTTCCTGCCCGGGCTGGTTTTGAACCACGATCCTTTAGATCTCAGCCTCCTGAGAAGCTGGGATGACAGGCGGGAGCCACCAGCTGGAATTCCATGCTGGGGGTTTCCATCCCATCCAGCAGCAGGGAGAGCCTCTTAATTAACCAGTTCTGTCTCTCCCAGCTGCAAAGAACGCCACGAATGCACCAAGTTGTGTCTGCCACCCTCTCAGGAAACTGTTAGCAGCCATCAGGACTCAGGTGAGAGGAAATGACGCTCCCTTCCCCCCCTCCCCCTCCACCCATGGGCCCCCCTCCCCCTCCTCCCTCCCCTCCTGCTCAGCATCCTCTGCCTTGTCTCCAGGGGCTACCGTGCTGCTGCCCCTGGTCATCTTCCTGGCTCTTTGCCTGGCGGGCTCCTTCTTCCTGACTTTGTTGTGTCGTCGGCCGCGGTGGAAATCCAAATTCCACTCCATTTGTGAGCCTCGCATGGGGGTCTTGAGATGAAAGGGATGGGCTCCAGGCTGGGGCCTCTGGGCCAGGTGTCTGGGGGGGGGGGGGCTGTGGGAACGTTCTCTAGTCCCTGGGGGGGGGGGGGCGGTCACAGAGTGACAGACAGCGGGCTAGGTCCTCCCGAGAAGGAAGTGAAGTTTTGAGCACCTACAGTAGCTCATGCCTGTAAGCCTGGCCACTCCCGGAAGCAGGAGAGGACTGTGATTTGAACCCAACAGCTGAGAGACTCTCAGCTCTACTTCTCCCCCTAAAAAAATAAAAAGCAGAAGTGGCGCTGCGGCTCAAGCAGTAGAGCGCCCGCCTTGACAGCACCCAGGCCCTGAGTTCAAGTCCCCAGGGCAACGGGACCCCAAGGAAAAGTGCACTTTGTGACTTGGTTTCCTTTTCTTTGCTTCAGTGTGTGGGACACCGGTGCCCGTGAAAGAGGTGAGAGGAACCTGGGGGACCCCCCCCAGAGTGCTTCTAATTAGGGGGGATGTGGCTGGTGCGGACCCCCTCTTTCCCCCCCATCCAGAATCAAGGCTCCTGGGCCTTGGTCCTCCCACCGCTCACCCCCCTCTCTCTCGCAGGGGGAACTGGAAGGAATGAATACCAAGCCTCCAGCCTCAGCCCCCGCTGTCTGCGTCACCCCAAACTTCAGTCCTCCCTCCGGCCCCCCCTTCCCTTCCAGTCCCAACCCCACCTTCCCCCCCAGTGACCGGTCCTGGGCTGGGTGGCCTCCTAAAGAGGGGGCCCCGCCCCATCTGAGGGCCGAACTCCTCCTGCCTTCCCCGCCCCTCCCGACCACGCCCCTCCAGGCCACGCCCCTCCCGGCCACGCCCACACAGACCACGCCCCTCCCGGCCACGCCCACGCAGGCCACGCCCCTCCCAGCGGCGGCCGCCAGGCGAGGAGACCCGCCGGGCCCGGACGGTGAGCGAGGCCGGCCGGGCGCGGGGCTGGGGGGTGCGCGGGGGGCCGGGCGGCGGGCTCACGGCCGTGTCCCCCATGCAGACCCCGCCGTGCTGTACGCCGTGGTGGACGGCGTGCCCCCCAGCCGCTGGAAGGAGCTGGTGCGGCGCCTGGGGCTGAGCGAGCACCAGATCGAGCTGCTGGAGCTGCAGCACGGCCGCTGCCTGCGCGAGGCGCACTACAGCATGCTGGAGGCCTGGCGCATGCGCGCGCCGCGCCCCGCCGCCCTCCTGGACCTGCTGGCCGGCCCGCTGGACGCCATGGACCTGCGGGGCTGCCTGGAGAACATCCGGGAGACGCTGCGGGCCCAGGGCCGGCTGCGGTGACCCCGCGCGCCCGCGCCCCTCGGTGCTCTCCGCCGCCTCCGGCCGGGGGGGGGGGCCGCGGGCCCAGCCATCCCCCTCCCGGAAGTGCTTGGGTCGCGGCTCAGCGTGCCGGCTCCGGGACTTGAACTCAGGACCCTGGCTTCCCCCGCGCAGGGCGGGAGCCCCCCAGTCCCCCCCCCTCCGATCTCCACCGATGCTCAGACACTACGGGAGGCGGGAGCGGCGGCCGGCCGGGGGCGCGGGGCACCCCGGTGTAAATACACTAAGACTCCCACTCAGCCTCTGGTCCTGACGGGGGGCGCCGGCACTCACGACCCCAGCCTCGCGCTCCTCACGCCTTTATCGGGGTTCAGGGGCGTCCGTGGTACAGAGTGCGACCCCCGGGAAGGGGGCGGCCCGGCCGGGAGGCTGGGGCAGCGTCTGGAGGTGGGGTGCGGGCGGCATCGGGGGCTCCTTACACCTCCCTGCAAAGGAAGGAGCCGAGGCCGGGGTGCGGGGGCGCCCTGACCGCGCTCGGGGCGGGGACTCGCGCCCGCGCCCGCCGCCCCCCCCCCCCCCGGGCGGCCCCCCTCCCCCCCCCCCCGCGCACTTACGACACGGAGAGGGGCGTGTCCAGCCGCACGGCGCGGGGTGCCAGCAGCCTCCGCAGCTGGGCCCGGGTCAGCCTGCGGGGCCCCGCGGCCTCCCCGCCCCGCGGCGCCGCCGGCTCCCGGCGGATCTCGCGCAGCATCTCGTCCGCCCGGCGGGGCCGCGGCGGCGGGGGGCGCGGGGGGCCGCCCGCCTCCGCCTCCGCCTCCTCCTCCCCGGAGGACGCGGCCCCGGCCCCGGGCGGCGGCGATGGCGGCGCGCGCCGCAGCTCCAGGGCCGACAGCGTGAGGCGGGGGTCGGCGCGCGGGGCCCGCAGCGGGGCGCCCAGGGTCCCGTAGCCGGGGTCCCCCTCGTCCTCCGGGTCCCCGTCCTCCGTCTCCGGGGTCCTGCCGATCAGCGCGGTCAGAGGTCACGGCCAAGGAGCCCCGATGTGGGTCAGCCCCCCCCCCAGTCCCTCCGTACCCCCCCCCCCCACGCCTGCGTCCTTCAGGCCAGGCCCGGGGCTCGAACTCAGGGCCTGGCCGCCGTCCCCGAGCTCCTCTCACTCCAGGCGGGCGCTCGGCCCCCCGAGCCACGGCGCCACTTCCGGACTCGAACCCGGGGCCTCAGGCCTGCCAGGCCAGCGCTGCGCCCCCGAGCCCCTGCCCAGCCCACACAGGGGGGCTCACCCGCAGTCTGCGCTGCCCTGCGAGCCGTCCGGGGAAGCGGGGCGCGGCCTGGCCTGGTCACGGTAGAGCGCCAGGAGCTCCCGCTTCTGCTGCACGTACTCCTCGGCCTTCAGCCTCTGCAGGACGTCCTGCGAAGGAGCACTGGGTGAGGAGTCCTCCTTCACTGAGCACCTACTATATGCTGAGCACTCAGTGACTCCTTCTCCCCCTCCAACAACGCTTGGCTTTCCCCAGCCCAAGACAGGCAACCAGAAGGCTAAGGAATTATTGTTATTATGATTGGTGCCAGTCCTGGGGTTTAGAACTCAGGGCCCCTGGGTCCTGTTCCTGAGCTTATCTTGCTCCAGGCTGGTGCTCTACCGCTTGAGCCACAGCTCCACTTCAGGCTTTCTCTGAGTAGTTTATTGGAGATAAAGAGTCTCCTAGAGACTTTTCTGCCCGGGGCTGGCTTCAAATCATGATCCTCAGATCTCAGCCTCCTCCTGGGTGGCTGGAGCCTGAGCTGCCTCCTCTCCAGCAAGCCTGGAAGGGGGGGGGGGGGGCTGGCTTCTCAGCTCAGGCAGGAGGGTCCCCCCAATCCTGAACTGAACTTGACCTCCAGGGGGCGCTGCCCACCCTCTCCAGCCACAGCTGCTCCCCAAACCAGCCAAGAATCAAGGACGGAGCCTTGTGCTTCAAAGCCTTCCAGAATGTTCCATCTACCCCCACAGGGCAGCTCTCATGGTCTCAGTGGTTCCCAGACAAAGGCTAGGCAAGACTTAGAGCAGGGACTAACGCAGCAAGAACACAGAGTAGGGCTGGGCCGCGTGGCTCACGCCCGTCATCCCAGCTGCCCAGGGAGGCTGAGCTCGGAGGATCGCCATAGGAAGCCAGCCGGGGGAAGGAGGGTCCAAGAGACTCCTGTGTCCAAAATAAACCAGCAAAAGCCAGGACTGGAGGGGTGGCTCAAGTGGTAGAGCACCAACCTTGCGCAAAAGAGTTTAAGGACAGCAGCACCCAGGCCCTGAGTTCAAGCCCCAGGACTAGCACATGCGCACGCATACACACGCACACACGCACACACACACACACACACACGCTTGCCTTGCTCCTGTCCCTTCAGTACTTGTCACCAAGGAAGTAGTAGCCATCTTCCCTCCTGACCTCGCACCTAGCCCTGATGGAAGCCCACTCGGAGCTCTTTCCCGCCATCTCCATTTCCAAGTCCTTCTCTTAGGCGTCTGGTCTTGTCTGGTTTTCTCGGGGCTGGCCGGCCGTGCCAGGTGCACCCCACTGTGCCCAGCCACGGGTGAAAATGGGGGGGGGGTGTCCTGGACAACTATCCTGCCCAGGCTGGCCTTGAACTGATCCTCCTGACAGCTGCCTCCTGAGTTGCTGGGATTACAGGCAGGAGCCACTGCACCCTGGCCATGTCTCCTTGATCTTGAATTGTTGCTTTTGTCACATATACCTGTGACTAGTCTGGGTGGGGGGGAGGTGTCTGTGCGTGCGTGTGCACGTGTGTGTGTGTGTGTGTGTGTGTGTGTCTGTGCACCAGTCCTAGGGCTTGAACACAGGGCTTTACCATTTTGCTTTGCTTTTCCACTCAAGGCTGGCGCTCTACCCCTGGAGCCACAGCGCCACTTCCGGTTTTCCGGTAGTTCATGGGAGATCAGAGTCTCACGGACTTTCCTGCCCAGGCTGGCTTTGAACCGCGATCCTCAGATCTCAGCCTCCTGAGCAGCTGGGATGGCAGGCGGGAGCCGCCGGTGCGGGGCTTCTGTCCTGGACCGCTCGCCTCTGAGGAGGGATTTCTCCTTCCTCTGCCTTTCAAATCTACCAGGTCTCTGTCTGTCTGACTTCTGCGTATCTGACATTTGCATATCCCACATTTGCATGTTCTGGATTTGCATATCAATCACTGAGCTGATTGGCTGCCTTGGTGGCCCCTTGCTCTAGCATCTGACACTCAAGGGAATCTGCATCAAAGACCAAACTGACCAGCCGGGCACTGGGGCTCCTTCCTGCCATCCCAGCCACTCAGGGAGGCGGACAGGAGAATCTTGAGGTTCAAAGCCAGCCCAGAGAGGAAGAGACCTCAAGATTCTTCAGTGGAACACCTCTCCCCCCGAAAAAAACCCAAAAGTGGATCTGTGGTTGGGGGGACGGCGGCTAGAACCCCCACCTCGAGTGGTACCAGCGAAGTGACAGATCCTGGAACTCCAGGTCCTGAGTTCAAGTCCCCCCCACGCCCCCGAGAGAGGAAATTGAGAATGCCATGGGGGAATGGGCCAGTCGTGCAGGGCCTCGGAGGTCGAGCCTCCGGTCATTGGCCTCCACTCTGGGAGTCCCAGCTCCGGCGCCCCCCCCCCCCAGCCGGGCTGTGGGGTACCTGAGCCTTCTGTGTCTTCTCCAGCCAGCGCGAGCGGTCGGCCGGGCTGGGGCAGTGGACCAGCAGGGCGCTGGCCACGCACTGCAGGTCACTGAGGTGGATGAGCAGGAGGCTGTCTGAGGGGGAGGGGAGGCAATCTCAGGGCTGGGCCTCGGGCATGGGGGTCCCCCGGCCCCCGCCACCCCCAGGGGGACGTACTGGGGTCCCTCAGCGGCCGGCACACCAGCTTGTCCAGCATGAGCGGCGGGCGGATGACCTTGGCCTTGTGGGTCTTGCGCTGCGGCTTGGTGACCAGGAGCAGGTCGGAGAAGAGGAAGAGGTACACGTCCAGCTGCGGGCCCAGGGCAGGGGCAGCGGTCAGCCAAGGCCCAGCGCACGGCTGGCCAGCAGCCCTGGGATTGGGGCGCATGCGCGCACAGAAGGCTCCATGGGTCCCCATCTCCCACTCTACAGGCGGGGAGAGGGGCTGGCTCCAGGCCTCAGACCCCAACCTCCTCCCCTCCCCTCCCCTCCCCTCCCCTCCCCTTTCCTCCTCTCCCCTCCCTTTTCTCCCTCTCTCCTTTCCTCCTTCCCTCCCTCCTTCCTTCCTTCCCTCCCTCCCTCCCTTCTTTCCTTCCTTCCATCCTACTCTCCCTCCTTCCCTCCCTTTCTCCCTCCCTCCCTCTATTTTTTGGGGGGGGGCAGGGGTTGCCAGTCCTGGGGCTTGCATCCAGGGCCTGGGCGCTGTCCCTGAGCTTTTTCCCTCAAGGCTGGCGCTCTACCACTTGAGCCACAGCGCCACTTCCATTTTTCTGGTGGTTCATTGAAGATGAGAGTTTATGGATTTTCCTGCCTGGGCTGGCTTTGAACCATGATCCTCAGATCTCAGCCTCCTGAGTAGCCGGGATGACAGGCAGGAGCCACCAGCGCCCTTCCTTCCTTCCTTCCTTCCTTCCTTCCTTCCTTCCTTCCTTCCTTCTTGCCTGCCTTCCTGGCCCCCTCCCCTCTCTCCATGCAAACCACTAAGCCCAGAACCTTGTGACACATGCAAGGCAAGGACTCCACCACTAGAGGGCCCCCCTCCGCTTCATGTCTCCATCCACAAGGAGTCTCACCACCAACAGTCCTGCCACACTCTCAGGCGTGGCTGGAATTACAGGTGTGCGCTACGGTGCTCAGCTCACCACCAGCTTCACCCCTCTTCCCCCACTGACCCCTCCACTCGCACCCCTCCTGACCTTCCTTTCTTTTTTTTTTTTTGGGGTCTGGTCGTGGGGCCTGAACTCTGGGCCTGGGCGCTGTCCCTCAGCTCTTCAGCTCAAGGCCAGCGCTCTACCCCCTGAGCCACAGCGCCACTTCCGGCTTTTTTCTTTTTGCTTATGTGGTGCTGAGGAATCGAACCCAGGGCCTCAGGCATGCAAGGCGAGCGCTCTACCCCCCCCCCCCCCCGCACCTTCCCTTCCCGTCCCTCCTTGATCCGCACGGGCCCTTCCAGCAGCAGCTGTCTGATGTGTTCGGGACCCACGCCCAGCATCGGGGACATCAGGTCCAGGGTGGAGAAGGGACGCAGGTTCTGAGGGGCACAGAGGAGAAAGGGGGGTGTTGGGCTGAGACTCCCCGCCCCGCCGCCCCGCCTGTCAGCCCCCCTCCCCGCAG